ACAATATCTTCAATCTTTCTATCTGCGATTCCAATTCCGATTAATTCTCTCGCTTTATTTGCCAAAAAGACGCACATCTAGATTGTACTCGCCTGTTCGTGAATTTTCTAGATACTCATCACGTGTTACCAGCGTCACGTGACTTCCACTGTCATAACAATATATTTTATTGCAAAAGAATTGTTTCATAAATTTAGAAACTACAAGTGTACTGTATTCTGGAGCAGTACAATTACACTTTAAGTTAGAATATTTTATCATTACAGAATAAAGTTTTTAGTTTACACCAGAAACAACTATTGTAATTAACTTTATGAAACACTGACAGAGATGTATGTATTTTTTTATAAATCACCAAGTGACTATTCAATGAATATAAAAAAATAAGACATTTAAAGATGTTTTACTTTATTTACACTGTAAGATCAAGATATGAACAGTTTTGTTGAGTACGAATTTTTTCTTGCAAATTAAAATTTAAAGCAAAATATTAAATTATCTAACCAATTTGTGTGGTGTTGAAAATGTATTGTTGCGTCAGCGAGGTCACGTAACTAGTATCACGCTACCTGTTTCTAGAAATATACTGTTCCTTCAAGAATGCCCAGCATTTACTAGACATGTGTTAGTCTTGTATATATATAAGACGTTCACGACGTGACGGGACATCAGTGTAATGAGTAATTGAATGTATGCCGACAAAATATTGTTGGCCACGTGAGACGTGAATTATAGTGTTTGTTATAGAGTGACTGTTGAAATTAAGTGTATCGTAAAGTTGTATTCGGAGAGAATAAACCAGTTTTATTTAAGAAAGGACTTGTGTCGCTAAAGTTTCGTCGGAACGAATTTACGGAAAATTAATTAACAAACGGAGACGTAACAGTATAATAATTGAATTTAAATACATTGCATCTGATATACTTAATGTTCCTAGTATGTGGGTAATTGTGTACATAAACTGAAAATTACCTGGGTGTGAATTCAACATTGGTGATGTTTAGCACTACTATTCTTAGTTTTACACAGCTGCTTCTAAATGAGCATTATACTTTTTTGAGATGATAACTACATACAGTAGAACCTCGATTAATGGGCACTGCGCCATTAAGGGCAGACTTTTCAGTCTCTTTCTTTTATCTACTATTTGTAACCAAAATAAATTTTGCAATAACGGGCACATCGATATTCTGCATTAAGGGCAGTGTCTTTAGTCTCGTTCTCTATGCGGACACTCAATAAAGCGGGTAGTTAACCAATTCGCTGCGGACAGGTTAAAATGCGCATGTCATGACCTTTTAGAAAGTTATTTTCAAAATTTTATTAAATAACTTCCCTATAACACTATAGGTACTCAAAATCTTTGTTTTTCGAAGTATTTTTTATTCATTCTTCTATGTTTTAATAAAAATAACTAACATTTAAGCATTTGTGAATGAAGAGTATTTATTGGTTGATGAACAAGTTTGTTGAAAGGGAAATAGGATTTTATAACTATGTACACAAATATCTTTATATGCCAATACGGTATACCGCGAAATTCCAAACATCCTAAAAGGATGACTAATATTCAAACACTTGCGATGTCTATTGGATCGACTCCCAACTATATACTGTAATAAACGTTTACACAAATCTAAAGTGCAATCTTATTACTCTGGGGAATTCTTGTTGTAAATACTGTAGGATACATAAGGTGATTAATTCCACATTTTAGAAACTGTCATGACTCTCGAGGGTCAATTGCAACACCACCAGTGTAAATGTGAAAAACAATCACCTGTTAAATACTTTTTTTTACAAAGTAAACACATAACCAATGACGTAAAGAATAAGAGATAATTTTGCTATACACATATTTGTGCTAATGATCTAATGTGTGTGATGTACAAAAGCATGGTAACTTTTTGCATGTACATGGATTTTAATATCTATGGAATAGAAATAAACTTAAAAAACTCACATTTCTTTGTTCCATTTAATTAATGTTTTTACAGCATACACAAAAATGCTGCTTAGATATATGTAACAAAAATGGCTTTAAATGCACACACCAAACAAAATGGGGGGGGGTCTTTAAAATTGATGAATTTAGTAGGTCACTATGGACTCCAGCTTTGTGTTATTGTTTGAATTAACTATCCTTGCAAGTCATTTTATTATTAGTATTATAAAATATATTTTCAATTATGATACTACATAGATTTGCAGGCTAAAATTCCAATATCATATTACTGATTAGGTGGCCGGAGTGTTTTAAAAAGTGCAATACAAGAAGTAGAGAAAGGGATAACTACTTAGTTAGGCTGGTAAAGACAATATTTTCTCACTCTATTGAACAGGATGTATTTGTTACATTTCTTGGTACACTACAGTACCTTAACCTCTCCATTAGGTCGAAATATATGTGTTTCTGTGATGGCATAAACTTAGGGTGACCAGATTTCCAAATAGAAAAACTGGGACAGTCCAGCCCTGTCTCTAATTTCAAAATTACAAGTTTGAAGTAAGTTAACTGTGAATTATCTTAAACTTATTGAACTGTTCCACAGTATTTCCAAATATTGAAAAAA